CAACATATTATGCACATTTTATAGCCTTTTTATTCATTCGATACCAAACACAAACAATATTAACAACCTGCCTATTTTATTGAAACTTATCTGCTTGCAATGCATACATTGAGTTAAACGAAACAAAAATGCTACTTAAACGTATGATTCGAGGGCCAAAAATCAAATACACCATTTTGTTTAAATAGAATAAAAAATAAACCATGACTCATTCAGACATCATCAGGAATATCCAGGGGGTTAAAAAAGGTTAATTATGGAAAAGCGATTTCAATAAAAATGATATATCAAGAGCCTTTGGCTTAGGTTCCTTTCCATCTCAACTGCTTACAAAACATTCAAAGGAAGCGATGGAAACACAAAACTAGGCAAACATTGAGAAAATACAAGATATCACTCTTGTGAGATTTGCATAAACATCCTTTTCTGCTTCATATCTCGTTATTTGCTAAATCGATGAGAAAGTCTGGGAAGGGGAGACCGCCATTCATCTCGCATCTACGACGTGTACATGAATCAATCCATAATTCGATGCACACGGTATGGATATTTTCGGTTAGTCAAGCAAAATGGATCATGGATGTTATGAATGAAAACCAGTCATTCTTCCTTAATGTGCAAATATAAATTGGGAAAGGCGAGCAAGTTTGATTTTATTAAACCGTTAAAACCAACTTTAGATAGGCACACAGAAATAACAAAAAAAAGAAGCAAGGGAAAAAATGATTGTGATCTGTTTGTTAGCCTCAAATCACCGACGTCCCGGATTCCATTGGGAATTTTCCCTGATCGTCGAGATAGAAATTCAATATCGTGCCAAGAAACGCGAATGAATAATTGGAGTTGACGCTTTATAATCCGATTAACTGAATAAAGTTAGGAAATTTACAGCTGCAAATTAGTCAAATATCTGACATTTTCAATTCCATCAGAAATTATTTAAATAAAATATTACTTACAACTGTTGAATTTGTGTTTAGAATCCCGGAACAAAACAACATCAAAACCTAGAGACAATTCACATAATGATTTAAACTTAGAGTCTTAAACTGTGAGTCTCCATTGGTCGAATCTCATCAACAAGATAAAACTGGAACGCAATCAACATTTTTCCTCGGGCCCACGTTATATCATAGACACGAGTAATCCCTTTTGTGGAAAACATATATGATTACATATTTAATAAACTGGCAAGCAGGACAGCAATAAAATTTGCTCGCCCCTTATTTTTATTACTCAAGTTAAATAACGTGCACATTGACTTATTTTCCGGAATTCGAGATTATACCAATCTAATAGATCCAATATGATGGTAGCTGACACACATTGTGCAGGAGGCCGCAAACAAGTTACAAAATTGACTGCAGAAAACTAATCTTGAAAAATGACTTCCAACGTCAATAAAGAAAAATTGGAAAGAAAAGGAAGATTTCCGGAGAGACGCCCTAGTTCATGGGCGCTTTGCTCTGATAGATCGTCACTTAGTGCAGACCAATTTTAAATGTTGCCATTGTTCGATCACCATTTTGATTCTTTGGCGCGAACACTACTCTGAGGTCAATGAGTGAAACAAAACAATATTGAATGCCTAATAAATTCGAGCAATGGTTCATTCATTGTGTATATGTGGTTCCATTAATTTTATATGCCCATAAGTAATCTTACTATGATGAAATTTGACGGATTTGCATGAATAAATAGTTTTACGTTAAACAAACATCACAAACATGAATACCAATTCATTAATCAGACAATATCAGGTCGTATACTATTTATATAGCAATCTTCGCAAAGTCAGATTAAGAATAAAAATTAATTGCTCTATTACTTGGATTAATAGTTTGGGATTTAATTTGTACCTATATAATGAAACTTTTGAAGAGCTAAAAACTGGTTTTTGCTCTTAAATTGCTTGCAATGATATTCATGGATTCGCAAGCTGAAAAGCCCCTAGGTATATGAAACGGGGTCACTAAACTCTATCTAATCTACCTATAAATATTAATGTACAAAAAAACCATCAAAAAACATTTGCATCTACTCGTTTAAATATGTTGATTCAAAGTTGCACCTTTCTTAATACCAAAGCTTAGTTATATCTGAAATATTCTAATCAATAATAACTGCATAACAATTTTTTTCCAATTCTTAACGATCCGTTTAGAAATGCGCGACTTAACTTCATGAATCCGAAAAAATTGAGAATTGAAAGTTTGTGAAAAGATTAATCTCTCTTACAGCGTCAAACGCTTTAAGGGAAAGACTGAGAATTGAAATTTCATAAGGAGATAGAACAAATGTTTACTTACTTGCTCCCAAAGACTAACTTTGCTCCTCTGGCTGCGGAAATTTTGAAAAACTTTTTAATTTGTATTTCTGTATATCCACTTCCTCTTATTTCCGAATCGCAGAAGATTAAGAATTGAAATTTTATGCAAATGTGTTATAACCTGAGCTCTCTTTGAGAATGTCTTTGGTACACAGGGTGGCAAATTTTATTAAAAGTAGTTTGAATTTGGGTTTTATTGCCTGAGCGCTTTTAACAGCTTCAAAATTCTGAACTGGAAGAGACTGAAAAATGAAATTCTATTGGTATCTATTCTATCTATCTATCTATCTATTCTATTCTATATTATTAGCAGATACAGCAATTGTGTCCTTACTAAATTTTGCAATGGAACACTGGAAATTGGGTTTTTTCTCCTAGTCAGAGGGTATGCAAAGAGTGTTTCAACATCTTTAAACTATCAAACGAAGAAAGATCGAAGATTGAAGTTTTGTTCGAATTTAGAGCAAATGTGCCTTGCCTTTACCTAAAAACCGGCTTTGGTGCACTGGCTGTAAATATTTTGAATTTTTTTTCTTTTTCGCTTTCATTTCTCGATAGCAATGATATAAATACGTTCACAAGCTAAAAAGTCTCAAAATACATGAAACGGCGTCACTAAACTAAATCTAAATTACCTATACATATTAATATGTCTAAGAGACCCAACAAGGAATATTTTCAACTAGTCATTTAAATATGTTGATTCAAATTCTAGCTCTCATAATACCAATGCTTAGTTTTATCTGAAATATATTCTAATCAATGGCAAAGATAATTAAATATTACTAAAATAACTGCTAATATAAATTCAGTAATCAGTGGAAAACACCATTGGTGGAATTGCAATTCCGCAACCAAATAAAATATGCCGACTTGTGCCTAATCAATACGCTAAATACCTAGATTGTAACATAACAGGGCGACATGAGATAAAAAAATCAAGTTTTAAATGTTTACTCCAATTTAATCTGTACCTACCTACTAAAATTGTATCAATTTTCAGATCATAAATTACTATTTGGAAATGCTATCTCATAACAAACATTAACACGTTTTTTGCAACTACGAACATATTAGTTTGTTATTTTTATCACAGTACATCCTGTAAATTATGAAGTTAATAAAGACAATAAATAATCTGCACTGTTTACAAGATCTACACGGAAGGTTGAAAAACTTGATTTATAAAGGTGAAACAAATAAATTCTTCAGTTCCAAGTTATGTTTCATACAGATTCAGAGAAGAGCTTAACCGTTTTCAGTGTATCTTTAAAATATAGTCTAGAACTGCTAAAAAAAGTAACTATTCATTACTCAATCAAGTACTCGCTAGTAAGAAAGTAACACACCTTACAGTCGAAAGCGATTTTATTACTTTAAGCATTGGTCATTGAAGGCGATATTCAGATTCCAGTCTGGTATTTTAGTATTTTGCCAATGTCGTGGCAATGCGAAAATGACATGCTGATTAAATTGATTATTTTGAATACTTTGACTATTTCTATTACCTACAGATGATCCGAGAAAAGATATTTCAAACAATTTGTATTTATATACATAAGGTATGAAAGGTACCAGTTTGCAAACTGAAGAGGATTCGAGTATATTCAAAGAGAAATACATAGTTCGATCTCGGAATGAATTTTATTATATGACGCAAATGGGTTCTAGTTTTAAAGACCTTTAAAAACGAAATAGAACATGCTCCTGCCGCTGCATACTTTATAAAACGCCGCTTACTTTATAAAAAAATTATAAATAAAATATAAAAAACGTACATACTAAGGTGTCAGCTTTTTGATTATACCGACAAATTCCTTGTGTAAAGCTCTAACTAGGAAGGAACTAAAGGAACTAAATTAAATTGGAAAATAGTAGGTATTCAGTTATAGACAGTATTATAAAATTTAGTAATGTAATATAAGTAAGTACCGAAAATAATTAGCAGCCTAAGTAACGACAATCAACACCTTGAAATTATCATTAGCTAAACTTTTTCTGCAGAGCTACCTACTACATACATACAATAAAGGAAACTAAGTAGACCGACATATTTACTAAACAAGATACCTAATATGCGCAAATAAATGTGCAAATTAAAAATCGAGTGTTGTATGCGTAATTATGTGAAATAAGTATTTTATCAAACAATGCATCAAAATATGCGTACGTTATGAATATACAAAGAAGCAATGTTGATAAACACATATAAAACTTTTAATTTGTATTAATTAGAAGTCCAAGTTCAGATTACTTTGGCTTTTCCTTTGATCTTTAATACCGTATTTGTTAACTACATTTTGGTCCTCATTTGTACACATAGGTACGTCAGTTTACTCGTCATATCTACTGTTTCTGTTGTTCAGTAACTTTAACGTTTAGGTGAGGCACTAGAGAGAAGTAAAATTAAGATGTGATAAGAATGAAGAAATGCTTCACATCAACATTAGAACCACAAATGCTTGTATAAGATGGATTTATTAGAGACAGCTCGAAAATCAATAACCTGACAGATTGCTTTTAGCCACTTTGTTGTTCATTTATATATTTATTAGCCATAAAGAGTAGAGTTCGAAATGATTGATAATAATTAGGGCAAGCAATCTATTAAAGTACTTTTGACAGATGAGAAATGGTGGAGTCTGAAATGAACCTCCGTGCAGTTCCTTACCTTTTAAGAAGGGCAAAGGCTGCAAATCCACATCTTGGGAGCTTCGATATCTGGAGCTGCCTTGGGATTTCTTGCTTTTCTTTTTCAACGACCTTTTGGCAAAGGGATCGATCCGGTCGACAAACGCTGGGGTAGTAGACATTCTATTTGGGGCTGGCGTGGCCAGAGAAACGGATAATACACCAATTACACAGGGGTTGTAAACGGCATCTCCACACCAATAAACAGGTCATTAAATTACGCGATTTTTCAAGCGGATCATTTGTAATTTCTAGTCCGAGATGAATTTATGAATGGTCCTGAGATATCAATGACAAGCGAGGTGTGTTCCGTTGCACGCCCAAGTCAACAAGATTATTGAAGTTTTTTTCGAACTGCCCGGCCGAAAACAGTCAGAAAACAGACACTCAACCAAAAACTATATTCCTTGAAATGATAATGTTTCACACCTTCCTGGCAGCCCGAACACACTCAGGATCACTAGCTGGCTTGGCAAGACCACCCGCCATCAGCTGGTTAATTCGCCGCAAAATGCACTTTTCCGTTTAACTTTTCCAGTTTCCTCTTCATATTACACATTATACGTGCGCTAAATCGTCTTTTCCGTCGCTCTATTTTGATTAAAAACCAAAAATTCACCCACAAAAGCCGATTTTTACTGTTAATTTTTGTACGCCGAGTGACACCGATGCCGTAAGTGCCTTGGGCTGAAAATAGATGGTGGGGGTACGTGGCTAGACAAAATAATGACTAATCGACGACATTTACAAGATAAATGGAAAACTAATTAGTGAAAAATACCCCACTATAATTTCGTCTCATCCACTATCTGCTAGCCATGTTGAATTGGTAAAAACAACCTAATTAAGTGAAAATAATGTTCCAGACAACCTCAAATTCACGCAGGAGATTGCATTCATTCCGCCAATCACAAATTTCACGAAATAGTTCGGGACCAATCCAGCAGCAGTATTTTACCGAACGACATTCGTACATTCGGAAAAAAACGCTAACGATTGTCAATAAGTGACACATTGGACAGTAAATATAACCACAATGTTCAAGTTCTTTTACCACAACCAAAACAAACATAAACCCTGTAATTGTTAGTAAAAATGTCTTGTCCTGGGTTATATTGCGGGAGAATTCTTTTAGAAAATGGGAAACTGAGCGACTGCGGCTCGTGCCCCCTTGGGTATCGAAGAAATGCCACAACTTTTATATGCGAACCATGTTTAAGTAGTCCTGGACTCTACGACTGGTTGTATTTTGGTTTTGTGGTATTTATCATGCTAATTTTGCACTGGTTTTTCATAGACATGGTTTCAATGAGACGAAGGTAGACTATTTTGCAACAGTTTTTTTCAGCTTCAATTTCTATGCTCCTATGTGCCATTTTAGTTTTAGCAAGAATGTCCTAGTTCTACACGCATCAGCCTTCTTTGAAGTCCTGATTTCATGTCTATTAGCTGTACTGTCTCTGAGTCCAATTGGAGAGTTTACAATTTATAGTTGCCACAGCAAGTCTTTGTCGGATTGGTATACATTACTTCACAATCCCACTCCAGACTATGGAGACAAGGTTTACTGCACCCAAGAAGCAGTTTATCCTTTGTAAGTGTTTATGAAAATCTCAACAGACCATTTTAATGGTTTATTTCAATAAATATGACAAAATGAGTCTGCGAATGCTCTTAATCAATATCATAAGTGATAAATGAGTGTTATCATTAACAAAGAAGAATTTTATCCTTCTGGAGTACCTACTATTAAAAATACGAAAAAATAACAAGAATAAGAAATCATAGTCTGATAAGAATAAGAAAAATGTTGAAACGAAATGTAGTGTAAATGGCATTCAGCCTCTCAGTAAACCATATATCCTATCGTAAAAAAGCTCTTCTAGCATTAAATGCCGCGTTTTCTTATCACTCAAAGACTTAAGCTGCACAAGCGAAGTCCACTATAAAACATTATTCCAGTGGTTGTTGATGTATTCCAATGAATAAATTTCTGTTCGGTTTTTGAAACAAATTAGAAGAATATTTCTTGGTAATTTTTCAGATCGATTACTTGTTTCCTTTAAAATTGCCGTCTTAACATGCCTTTGAAAAATTGCACATTATTTAGAAGCACCATAGATACACAATAAATCAACCTCAAACAACAAAAAACCATGTAATAATTTCGCATCAAAGCAAAGGAAGCAACTAAAAGGATATCTTAATACGTCTTTGGTCACCTCTGCAATTTTTTAACACTTACAGGGTGAGACAATGTATAGAAGCATAAATATGGCGATCGATGTAGCACCGTATTTTAAGTTGATTTTATCATATGCCGAAAAAAGCTTCGTTTGTGAGATGCGGAGATTCGACGTTTTGGATTTTTTTAAGTCTTCCAATTTAATTTTGTGAGAATTTATTCAAATTTTTACCTCAGATCACTTCTGGTGGTCTACGAATTTGTAAATTATGTGGGCGAATCGAAATCTTACAGGATGATTTTTTCGGAAATCAGTCCTACTTATACTGTATAATTCAAAAAAAGTTTGAATTTCACGTTTACTTTATCACAAAAACTGACACAAACAAAAACTTTATGGTCAAAAATCCAAATCTTTTTCGCTTTTCGAAATAACCAACGTTTCCCGACATAGGTTTATATTTACGATAAAACTAACTTAAAAAATGTGTTTTAGTTAATAAGAAAGTTTTCTGGTATAAGCTAATCAACCCTATATGTTAAATTTAAACTTTTTGTCGATTTGAATTTCTCAAACCATCTTGAATATTTCAATTAAACGTTTTTTATCTGCTTTTTTTTTCAGATACACCATTGTTTTTCTATTTTACGTCCTTTCCTTGGTTTCTATGTTGTTGGTAAGGCCATGGTTATGTAGGAGATATTTACCAAGACAGGGCAAAATGGCTATTTATGCTGCCATGTACTTCATTCCAATTCTAATTTTAATTCATGCTGTTATAGGGGGATTAGTATGTAAGTAGTTTCCAAGCTAACATTTTTAATTTAAATTAAATGTTTCAAACCTGCCTTTAATCCCGTTCATATTAAGAAACCGCAAATATAAATTTTAATTTCATTGTTACCTAATTTTACATTTGAATACGTCTACATTTTGTTTTAAAAATTGAAGGCAAAGTCTTGTACACGTATAACTGAATAACTGTAATTTTCAACTGTAACCTTAAACAACAAACAGGTAATATTATCCTTCAATATAGAACAAAAGAAAAACATTTGAAACGTTAGTCATTTGAAAAATGTTGCCAGTCGAAGCGCTTTTTATTACACCTTTTTTTTCTAGATTACTCATTTCCCTACCTCTTATTGGTAATATCAGTTATATCATGTGCAGCACATTTTGCTGTTAGAATGGAGCAAAATATACCTGCTCTCATTCGCTCTACAATAACGCAGCCTAGAAATATTGTCATCGTCTTGGGACACTGGTGTCTGCATGCTTATGGTATTATTTCGTTAACTCAACTGGATAAACCTCTAATGCATGGTCTGTTGCTGTTGCTAGTACCTCTTCCAGCATTGTTTTATATATTTACAGTCCAGTAAGTATATTTGGGAAGCCTTATTCTTAGTATCAGTTTATTAAAGCATTTTACTAAAAATCGTCGCAGAAATGTGGATTTAAACATTGCATGTTTTGATGTAAAAATAATGTTGATCAGACACCCCCTTGTAATAATATCCAGTACACCCCCACTTCCTCCCTGTGAAATGTTAAGTTTAAGGCCCACTACACTTGTGCTCTTGCAATTTATAATCTGTATCAGATCTAGAGACGCCTTGGTAAGAATTTACTGATCTGATGTCTAAGGACCAACACTTACGAAAGCATATTAATTTGAAATTGATTTTTAGATTTACAGATCCCAATAAGTTTTACTTATAGCAGAAGACTGTGTTTAAAAAGACCAAAGATGATTCCGGCAATTACGTTTTTACCTACATATTCGAGCATAATGTTACTAGCGGAGGTCTGAGACGCCACCTTAGTAGGTATCAAGGACCAGGACGTAGAGGTAGACGACCATTAGTGCCCAGAAGTCCAACAACTGATGCAGGAGGAAAGACATTAATGGAGTAAGAATATCTACATAACAGTAAATCTAGGAGGTATTTAAAAATATTATTTGCAGAACTGAGGACTGCAGAACTGAGAATTTCTTTCTCTATGAGTAAGTCTGATCAAATCAGCACTCATTAGTCATCAGCTTCCATTCCCAGGTCATTAACCGTTTTCAATTTTCACTAATTGGCAGGGTTTCCTTTCAAATTATTGGAATATTTGGTTGTGTAATTAAATCTCCTTTTTTATTATTCAAATGTGTTTTTATGCTTTATTGGAAACACCCAATTCAAGCCAAAAAATACACACTTAGATTGAACTAGAATAGATTTAACTTAGTAGTGATTAAAACCCTAAGAGTCTGATCGTAAGCAGAGCATACAGCCAATCCCAATTTATCAACGCACCAATCGTAAGCTGTTATAGGTTGGTCAGAAAGGTTACTATTTTGAAGTTGCTGTAGTTCACCTATTATTCCATAGGGAATTCCTTCTGAATCCTTTTCAACTCGTTTTGAAGGGTAAATGCTGAAAGAATATTCCTATAAATAATTCATACATGCCCTAAGTGGGGAATAACGCCAGTTAAATTTTGAAGGCGTTGCACGGGAAAGGCACTATTTTAACACGTATTTTATATGACTATAATTATACAGGGAGCTGCAACCAAGACCGGGGTAGAAGCTAGCTGGTGTGAAATTTTGAATTTTTTATATTGTCCGCAATATCCATTAAAATTATTTTGTTTACACATGGTGTTCCAAAAAATCCGTGGCATATTAAACTTTTGTAGAGATCAATAGAAATAGGAAAAACTTTGTTCTTTGCTTTCTTCTACTTGGAAAAGAAGAGGCAATAAACCTAATTAGAGATCTGTGGCAAAAAAATATTATTTAAGGGTGGTACTATCCTAAAATAGTACTTAGCATGTCTCTTGTCCCATGTACTTTTTTTGCACATCCACAGGTCCTGTACAGTAGTATAATGGGACGGCCGTAATTCCGATTCCGAGAAATTTTGCGAATTAAAAATCTCCGCTCGCAATTTTAGTAATCTTCCTCATCAAACCTCTTCATCACCAATTTTTCGTTGCTGCGAAGCAACTAGGGTAGATAAGCGAAGCATTTAAATGGAAACTTTTGAAAAATTTGTATTAGAAAATGTCTTGGTAAACCAGCAATATTTTCGATTCTAAAATACGTGGAAAATAATACTTCTTCCCCCGTGAAACACCATATTTGCATAACTTTAGGAACAACATTTTACGAAATCCTGTTTTTTCATTGCTTACTGAGACTTATTTTAATTTACTAAAATGCTTAATGAGTGCATCAATAATTATTATCATACTTACTACTTCCATAGACATAATGAACCACTTCCACCTGTGGTCATAAAAATTTCTCGGTTTTGAGGCAGATGTTTGACCTGCCAGATGGTTGAAGCGTGGGCTTTTTCGGACAAATTGGCAAACCCTTTATTTGGGTGTTGAGTGCGTACATCAAAGCAAAAAAATTTCGATTCCAGTGTTGTAACCACTAGTTTATTCATTGGTATATCTTTGCGATCAAACTGAAGATCTACAACCTAAAATGAAAAGTAAAGAAAACATATTTTGGGCCATTATTCCGGAAATGTACCCCATTTTTTAGACACTTGGACCATCTCACATTCATAGTTTTCAAGTCAAAAAGTTTTACATCGCCATTATCGAACCCTGCCGCAATTACTCTCTCTTCGTTATTATACGAATCTCCAAAAGCCACACACCAACAGTCGCGTCCTGTTTGTGATTCAAGTGGAGTAAACTTTGCAACCGGTAGATCTTTCTGACGAACATCCCATACCATTACACATCCTAATTGAAAAAAAATTGGTTGAAGTTGCAAAGTATCCACCACTCTTGCACATTCATTCGGGTTAGAAAATTCATTGAAATCTTTCGTTGATCAGCTTACCATCTCTAGAACCAGTTACAATTTCAGGCGCCCCGCAGTTTGCACTTTGTCCTGCAACTCCATCTATAGAATTTATAACTGCGGTGTGTACGGTCGATTTATAAACGGGTGTTATTGTATCTTCCATATCCCTAATGATAAAAATAATACATGGTATCTAATAGCTAGACAAAGTTAAAACATGATAGCAATTATAACTTGGATTTTATAATGTGTCTTTTTTTAATTTCCTACATTGAATCAACATTTAATCCACTTGATAATCAAAAGATAGCAATGGAGCGTAAAAATAATTTGTGCAGCAAATTGATTGATTATTTAATCTGAGCCTCGATCAACAAATATTAATACGAGTTTGGACAATGGTGTAAAAGCACGTATTTATTTGAATTTTCTGAATTTTTGAATATACCAAACTTGCAAGCGTCCAGAAAAATCTCCAGTAGCCAAATGCCGGTTTCTCAAGCTGGAGGCATCGAAGGTGCAACATTTGAAGTGGTCCTTCTTATAAAATTCGTCGATTTTTTCCACTCTTTCGGACGATAATGAGTAAATTTCCACCACTCCAGCTCCGTTGGATTTGCCACCTACCGATACAAATTTCGCGGAACAAGGTATCCATTTAACATCGTGTATGGCATAATCTAAAGATTTGGAATGATGGCAAATTATTTGGGGCTTTGCTAAACTCTCCATTCGTTTCTGATTAATTGGAAAACTGTCGCATCTTTCAAATTGATCAAACAACGACACCGGAAATCGTAAACTGGCTCCCCTGGTAGGGTAGTTCCATAATAAAAATATTATTTATATTTTATTTCAGTTTTCCCGTTGCAGTTTTAAGACGGTAGGTATACGTTTTTTTTTTCAAAAAGCAAATTTTTTTTATTTTTGGAAATTACTTATTTCAATGCATGTTGCTAATTAAATGTGATTTTTTATTTTCATTCCAGGCTTTTAAAAAGAGCTTAAAGCATTTTTTTTATTTGGAACCTTAAAAAATATCACTTGATAGATGTTAAATTTATTATAAAAATATTTAATACTTTTCATTGCATAAGCCTTGGTCCAAACCTACTATTATCAATTCTTGCGCCTTTAATAACTTGACTTTTACGTGGAAAAAATCCGGCCATACTCATCTAAACAAACAGCAATTATTAAATATTTAATAACAAGTTAAAGTTTGCAGTAAGACAAATTTTTGTACTAAGACTCCATCGACGTTGTCAATTGACTAACTTTCTCATTTCGGTTATCTAACCTGTTAAGTTCAGCTGTTGTTATTCAACCATCAAATAAAAATGTCATTTGTTATTTACAAAATATATCACGTGGAGATGTGCAGATCACATATAGGAACAATTAAGAAAATAATATTTAGAATTGCGTGCGATCCGATTGTTAACTGAATAATCCAACGTAAGTAGAGTATTCTAGAATTTTGCAAGTCATGAAATAACATTTGCTTATGTAACCGAGTTATCATTGTGTCTGTGATCTATAGCTGGAATGAGAGTGAAAGTTAAACTGTTATTATTCGCTCAAGCCAGAGATCTAGCTGGAAAGGCTGTAGATATACTGGATGTACCTCGATCAATTAGTTGTTATAATTTGCTGCAGATTATCGTTGATCAGTATTCGTTGCAAGAGATTCGGAACAACGTTTTGTTGTCTTTGAATGAGCAGCTCTGCCACATTGAGGATAATTTAGAGTTGCAAAACGGCGACGAAATTGCAGTGATTCCACCTCTAAGCGGTGGTTAAACAGTTCCAAATCCAGTCGCATTGATAGTCTGTAATGGCTAATTTCCTGGCTTTTAAAACAGACAAACTTGGGGTGGAAGAAGTGACTGGTTTGGTTAGTGCACCTTCATGTGGAGCAAATTCAATCTTTGTGGGAACAACTCGAGATAATTTTAACGGGAAAACAGTGACAAATCTTGAGTATGAGGCTTATGATTCAATGGGAATAAAAGCAATGGAAACAATATGTCTGGACATGAGGAAAAAGTGGCCTGAAGTAGTAAATATCGTCATTCATCATAGGTAAAGGGCTTATCACTGAATCGGCTTTTAAAAGCAAAGCCTTTATACATTTGGATTCATTGTAGGTTGGGCGAAGTTCCTATAAAGGAGGCTAGTGTAATAATTGCAGTGTCTTCGCCGCATAGAGAAGAAGCCTTAAAAGCCACAGAATTTTGTATTAACAGGTTGAAGCAATCCGTCCCAATTTGGAAGAAGGAAATATACTCAGATAGTGACGCTGCTTGGAAAGAAAACAAAGAATGTCAGTGGTCCCGGAATTACGTTGAACCTTAACTTATACTGATTTTGCTGTTTGCTTGTACAGAAAATAATACTCTACTTGTTTTACGAACTCGAATAAGCAGAAAAGCCTGAATGTTTAGATAAAAGTATTGTCATTTCCTGCACTATTTTCTTATTATATATATATATATTTTTTTTTTTAATTATATATCTTGTTAACTGATACAATTGTTTTATTGCAGCTGCCGTCATGTCATACCCCCCTAAAAGAAAAAAGCATGAGTTTTCGATAACTCAAGAAGTACAAAATGATTATTTTCCCCCGCATTTAATACAAATCAAAGCCGCAAATGAGGAATTGAATATTCGAATAGAGAAGTTCATGGAGCGGAAAAGAGCTGATATTAATGCACACAACAATACCGAATTTTTTCAAAGGTAGAGTATCATGTAGACCCGGAACTTTGTCTATTTATCCAAAATTCTCATTGATTCAATCTTTGGTTTTAGAGGCAGAGAACCAGAGTTTAGTTGTGCTAGAATTGACGCGATAGTGGTGAAGAGAAAAGACTCAAATAGTCATCTACAAGGTAATGAAACTAATGGCCTTTTCCTAGCGTTTTAATAGATAGTTTTCCTATTTAGTGGAAAAGGTTTTGAACAGCTACCAATATCGCGACCAGAAAACTTTTGATTACCTGAAACGATATATTCCATCCAATGGTATAGACGAACGGCTACAATCTTTGGAGAGTCAACTAAGTATGGACAAGGCAGTACCGAAAAATGTGTACCAAAGGATAAAACATTTGGAGGACCGTCTGCTTCATTTAGAAAGTTTATCACCTGAATATTTACAATTCTGGGTAAGCACCGAGGAGGGAAGAAAACATTTTTTTGCAATCTGAACTTTTAGGACAAAACCAGTGTGATGTCTACAAAATCTATGAAAAAGCGAACATTCGAGCTAAGTGAAATAGATGAACTCACTGCCGAAGTGGAGCGAAAATGTCCGAAAGCATGTTAAGACGCGTGCCGTTAGAAAACAAAACAAGACTAACAGTAACGTATTTTTTTATATATTTAAGCAATACATTTATTTTATCTCACATTTCTAGTTATATAACTAGAAATTTGCTTTCTTTTATATAGAGTATAATTGTTACTATCATGAGTAAACGGCGTAACCATTTTTAATTAATACTTATTTATACCTTTTTTAAACAAAATTTTTGCTCTTTCATTATCTCGGCCTCGAGCGTTGATGCCATGTCATACGTGCCTCTTTCCGCTATCAGCCGAAAGAGTGCATGACTTTCACGTCAGCGTTCAAACTTCAAATATTTATTCATGACGGGTATTTCAAATCCACTATTCACAGTTTAAACCGAAAAAAGTCTTGTTGTATGTTGTGTACTTGCTTTTATCTATGTTAGCGGACAAGTACTTGTCTGATGTTAGTGTTGGTATAGTCCTGTGATTGTTTGGACGTGTTAGTATTGGCGAAACGTAAAATTTTATAAACTTTGCAAAATCTAATTAAAACAATGAGTGCAAATCAAAGTGGGAGTTCAGTTCCCAAAGATCTTGATGAAATCATGTAAGTTGTTATACCTAAAAAGTTTATTCGAAGAATTTTCACTGATAAGATCATTGTTGAAGATTTAGCAATGGCTTGTACAAGCATATATGACCCTACCCAAACTAGTGTTTTTTCTTATGAACGGAAGTTCAGTATAGGTATCAGAGCTAGATTTGATCACTCTAGAACGTGATTATCAAGGGCACTTTCCTACAAAGCAGTCGTTCTCGTGGTACTTGGAGTTCATCTAGCATACATCTTATTTTAATGGTACCACAGTTTTATATTTACACGGTTTGGAATAAATCGTTTAAATCGTAGAGAAAGTGTTGTATCTTATAAATAGAGATAGGCTTTCGAGGCCATTTCTTGAAACTTGTGAGGTTTTTGGGTTTTAACTTGGAATTAATCTAGATAAACTTACCACCCACCTTAACTTTTTTTTGTTTACCTACTCGTTTTTATCCCAACTGCATCTTCAGATGGGTACTTTGTAATCGCAGAACTTTCCAGTCTGTCTCTAGAAAAAGTGTCCTTACTCAATTGGTTTAGAAGTTTACGTTGCTATTTATTGATTTCCCTTTCTTTCTTCCTTCTTTAGTTTAATTTAGTGCAGTTTTTAGATTCGAACTTACAACGTTTTAATGTCTTCACGAGTTATGAGATGGGAAGTCGATCGGTTGCAAAGACATATATAAACATTCATCTTCACCAAAAATCCCCACATTTAGGCATTTAGAGGATAAATGCACATAATTTTGTTTGGTGAAGAGAATTTACTCGATAAACATTTGCTTTTACATTGAAAATTTCACATGTAAATATTGACAGTTTTAGAAAATCCGGAGTATAATTTATAAAAATGTATAGGTTCCCTTAAAACATGTTCTATGCCTTGGAAAACGACAGAGAATTATGTCGAATTTTATAAATGAGATAGTCATTCCTTTTCTTCCCTGTGTGTATTATCAAAACTAGTTGAAAATGTGTTTGTGTAGGAAATGATCATATCCTACACATTATCTTCTATCATTATTATTATTATTATCTACTATCTATCTACAATTATCTTCGAAGATAATTGTTAAACAACTAGTCGAGCATTTAACCGATTGTATAGAAAAGTATCTTGAAGAGGATATTGTATATTAAGGATTGCATATTAATTCCATATAGTTGGGCATTTTTTTGAGTTTCCATAGTTGAATTTCTGTTGATAGTTTTTGCCCAGACTAATTTTCCTTCACTGCACGATAGATTTCCTAACTTTTTTGCTCTATTAAACCTACAATTATTGAGAATTAGTAAGATTATGTTTAGGTAGAGTTGACTATTGTCTTTATTAACTCCAGCATTGAAGATATGCCTTGGGCGCAAAACATGTTGCAAAAGTTCCAAGAGGGCTTACGGTTAAACTTTCTTCACTGGTGCTCAATCGCTAAAGAAGTAGGCGGTGCCGATGGACAACACACTAAAGACTGGGGGGAAAATTATGGTCAGGCTCTGAGTATGTACTCGCATTTATTTAATTTATTACATCAACTAACTTCGCATGTAACTGATTTCAGATCTTCTATTACGCGATATGCTGAATGATATCTTAGGAGTTCAAGACAAGACTACCGATACTATTCAACTTTTACTCCAAAAACTGCAAAGGCTATGTGACGCGTTAAATCAACCGATGCCTAATATTGGAGCGGATGGTCTTTGCCTTTACGAAGAACAAAAGCAGCTTCAAAGTTACATCGCAGAGTATGTGATATTGGTAAACGTTAATTTGTATTACTTTAATTTATTTGGGACGAATCAATTTTCAGATGGGAATCTGTACTCAATATGAAGAAACAAGAGCTTAAAACGTTGGAAAAGAAGTACCTGAGTCTGTGTAAATCGCTGGGAGAAGAACCGAGACTTAAATTTGAATATTCTCGAATGCCAACTGCTGCTGCGTTGCATGATTACGAATGCACTATTCAACAGTTAGAAACAACATTGTTTGAAAGACATGAACGATTCTATCACCTGAAAGCTCTGATTACAGAACACGTTGAGCATCTCCATTACAGACCTACCTGCGAATTTGAAAAAAAGGTGGAGCTTTAAGCAAACAGTTGAAGTAATTCGCAATAATCATCGACTTTATTGTTTAGGTGCTGTCCGATAATGTCATGGAATTTACGAAAAATAATATGGCACAATTGGAATGTTTTGTCGCAGAATTGGAAAAAATAAAGCAATCCATCGAAGACGATATTGCGCATTTGAGAAGTCGAATCGAAGATCTGTGGAACATGATTGATACTGATTTGAAGTATCGTGATGATTTCAGAACTCTTCATATCGGACGTTCTTTGGATGTTCTGGATAAATTGCGAGAAGAACTGCACAGATGTGAAGTTGTGAAAAAGGAAAATATACAGGTAAGTTAAAACACTGTTTTTGGTCAGATTTTATCTATATGGTTGAAGACCCTACTATTGTCGTTTTCTCTGTTTTTTGTTGCTTAAACCTGTATTTATAGCTATAAAAATGCACATAATGTTAAATAACGGTTTATACTTAACTTAGAACACTTTTTTGGATCATCGCGAACTTGTAAGAACAATGTGTCTTAAAATAGATCTTACCGACGGCACTTCTAGATCTTTTTGTAAGCTCTCACTCTTCATAAGTATTTGTTGATTAACATTTGGTGCTTCATTGACATTCACCTTTTAACTGTTTGATTTACTTTAATTATCTTAGTTATCAATTGAGATTTTTTGTTTTTTTTGCAGAATTTTGTAGAAAAACTAAGAAGTCGATTAGAAGAAGTGTGGAAAAAGTGCCATTGTTCCGATTCGATAAAAAGCTCCTTTACATGCTTTTATAGCAATTGTTACACGGAAGATTTATTAGATTTGCATGAAATAGAAATTGGTAAATGGGAGAAATATTATGAAGATAACCAACAGTTGATACAGTTATTGGAAAAACACAAAGAATTGTGGCAAGAGGTAGTTATATGGAATTACAATAAATATTTGTTTGCAATGATCAAGTAAACTCTTCAGGTAATTGTTCTGGAAGAAAATGCTGCAGCTGCTGACCGGTACAAAAATAGAGGAGGAAACCTTTTGCAGGAAGAGAAAAAGCGCAATAAGTTATCAAAAATTATACCAAAAATTGAAGCTGAAATTTTGGCTCTATGTGAAGAGTACACGAAAAATAATGGTGGGGCTATATTTACCACCTTTGGGGAACCACCTGACGCAGCAATTCAATATTTGCATCAAAAGCGTGATGTTGTAAGAATTGTTCACCAACGTTTAGGTTTGCAGCAACTTCTAAACAGTTATTTTTCAGGATCGCAGAATGAAGCTGAGCGCCCGTAAAATGCAACGAGAACTAACTCCGAGCAGTACCACCAAGTTACCTGTGAGCTTGTATGGCGCTTCTACTAGTAAAATAATCGTCACGCCTGCAGCTAAAAGGAAGTTATTAGCCTCACCAACTCCTTCAAAAAAACTGAAAAATGAAGTGCACAACAATCCTAAAACCAGTGAGTAGACGATTTACCTGCTTAAACTTTGGAGATTACGTGCAATATTTAATTTTACTGTTCTATTACTGGAGTAATCTAGTGATTGGTGTACATACATAGTCAATATACAATACAAAGCACTTGTGTTTCCGTTTTCGTGTTTTTCTTAGTCGACAGACAGCAATAAAAAAATAATCAGTAATTTAAAAATTTACGTGCTCTACTTTTGCTACCCTTGCTATGGAAATAGAGCCATTTTGCTTTATATTGGTGATACTACAAAAACTTGCTTACCAATACATTCTTACACTATCTTAAATTTTACTTTTAAATAAATATTTTCATTAAAATTTGTTGCCAATTTTCAATTATCTCACAGGGTGGTAAGAATCATAATAAAAAGTCGCAAAATAGGTAAATAAGTTGTTATAACTTTGATTGCAATTTTATAGTCAAAATCACAAATCAATGGAATGGAGAAACAGCGATGATTTTTTAATTGTAAGTTGTTTAGACTTGCATATTGACCTGCCTTGCATCTGAACTTTTGGTTGGTCCTATATTTCAATAAACTTACTTGCATCATTATCATCTTAAAAGCATCACAAATAAAAATAACTCAGAGCAAATCCAAAGTTTGAAAAATTTATATCAAGCACTGTTCTTGAAAAAAATGATTTGTCCGCTATAGCTTGCTTCCGTCTAAATTTTCTGTTTTGTTTTATTATTACTTTTGTCTTAGTGTATTATTGTTTTCTTTATTTAAAAAAAATCAATCAATACATAACAATGGATTTTACCTTCTAGCACCGTTAGTTAAACCTTTGCCGAAAAAAAAATTAACTCTGGCTACACGTCCCCTGGCAAGTCAAAAGCGTAGATCTCAATCATCCATAGAGAGGAGTAGGCGTAGGATGTCTGGTCGAATTTTAGCACACCTCAGTAAGGAAGAACGCGACCACGATACTGAAAACACAACATATGCGAAATTTGAGGTAATAAATCACTAGATGAGATTTTTTTCTTTGGGAAACTGCTACTTTTAGGTGGTTGAAGAATGTTTCAGAATTAATTTTCTTTCTTTTCGTAGCATTGTCTGCAAGTTTTTTTTCTGGTGGGAGGGATGTGTAACAGTTTAGCTATTTAACAGCAATAATTTATTTGCAAAAAGCCCCACTGACGCACAGCTCTTTTGAAAAGGGTCAGTACCACGTTTTTGTTCTTTTAGCTAAACTGTGTGTTTTAAACGTTTTGCCGAGCCTAAATCCCTGTGTTTGTTGTTTGTTTGAAGATTTATGGCTCATTAAGATTCCTCAGTTTTGGGTTTTACTGCAGCTCGTTTGTGGATACACTTTGCCTCGCTAAGTTACTTTAATGCTTGAACACGATTTGGGAGCTAACAACTAATGCATGTATGTCTAAACAGTAGGCACGGTATTTGTGAGTGAGCATTTCATAAGTATTAATTCTGCATATGTTAATACCCATAAAAGTTCTTTGCAAATACGGATAATACGGAGTATTAAGTCAAGCAGTTTGTAATTATATCGATCTCAATGTTATAAATGAATTCCAGTTTTAATTATTGGTAATAATTTTAATTCCCTGGAAAATCATTTTCGCTTTTTTGCAGATTTGTACAGCTTTTTGCAACGTGTGTTAAAAATCCCCAGCTCGTTCAAAATCATTCTTGGTTTCTAAAGTATTGCGTTCTGGCAAGTTTCCTAATGAGTTCAATTCTGTTATAGACTGAGCAACTTTCCAGTAACGAGGTACACTGCACGATTAATGGCGAACAGACATCCCCTTCAAAAAAGACACCGAATAGAGTTCTTTTGACAGCGCCACAGTCCAGAAGTCCTTTAACACCGAAGACTACGTCTCAACTCAGTATTTGTAAGAAGAATTTGAAATTGTTGTTTTAATTTGTTGCAATATTGTTTTTAAATTTTAGTTTTGTTGCGTGGTGTAGAATGTCGGTTCTGTGTGGGTTTTAACAATGTATATTGGAGCAACAACTTTTAACCACTTGACTAAATAAAAACGTATCATTGCGATGATATCTACATCGCAATGATGTGTTTTTCAATACAGATTTTATAAATCGAAGAATAAAAGTGGGACAAGTCTGAGTCGCAAAATTTTTATTAGAGAACGACCAACGACGAATTGAATGAATTAAATTAAGGGTTTTTTAATAAGTGTCCGACATTTCACAGGGCGATGAATGTTGGTTTTAAATGGTTTTGTAACAGGACAAACTTAATTTTGATCTTGATTTTTCACTTACATGTGGAGGCTGCTACCTACTTGTCTCTCCCACTTTCTCATCATTAATCTAAGTTTTTACTTTCACTTTATCATTAATTATTTCTATTAATAAGAATACCTTTTTTATGTAAAAATGATAGCGAAAATCATTTTGTTATTAAAAATGTGATGCAAGAAGATCAAATTCAAGTTTGTATCACCAAACATGGATATTATGAGATTATGTGATCTCACGATAAGTGAGGGTTTTAACACGATGTTGTTCGATAAGCTCGCATTGTTGACCCATGTGAAATCACGGACACTTATTTAAGAAAAAAACTATATTTCAACCACAATAGCAACTGACTAGTTTTTTGGATTGATTTCCACAGGTAATACGTTTTTTTTTCGATTACATTACTGCACCAGCGTTATTCCCAATTTTTTTTGTTTTTTTTCTTCGTGCCCATCAGCATAGTAACGCCCAACGAAACAAATTCAACAGCTTTCTATTGTTTCGAGAATGAGTAATCTATAAAGTTTGAACTAACGACTATATTTTAAGAAACATTTATTATTTACCACGTTTTTGCATTAACTGAAAGTAAGATATTATAGGTAGGATCTAAAGCTCATTTTAGACGGTCAGTTCAGTTTTACGTTCAGTTTTAGTAGTTCAACTGTTGGCAAACTCATCGAGCTACAGCTCCGTATCCGTTTCAGTTTTTCCGTCATTTTTTTGTGTTCAGACATACAGATAACATACAGACTGAACTGACCGTCTAAAAGGACCTTAAATAAAACGAAGTACGATTTATTAACCATTTGCGTTTTCCAGATATGTGTATTATTTATTATAAATAATTATAATATTTACATTCGTACAACATCAATGGAGGTCTTACCGGGCTCAAACTCATTTCCAATTCGTTACGGTTAATTACTTTAAGTATTATTTTGGAATATTTCGATGTTTATTTAATATATGTTATGTTTCATCAGAGCTTTATTTACGTATTTGTTTGCATTTTTTCATTATTACGCAGATCAAGTCAGCTATGTATATTGTCTGTTATTTTTTAAACGGACAACCTCTGACACGAGCAGAGTGTCCGCATAAAGCCCATGTCCCATCCATCCGTTTAGACCATGATACAATGCATAGAGTAAGTAAAAAAATATTTTACTTTATGATAC